CCTTATTTTGATTTTACTCGACCCTATGTGCTCCTATGTGACTTTATGTGTTTAATTGCATGCCTTTTGCATGTTTTCATTTTATTTATTTATTTATTCGCTTTATTTGTTTTAATTTTTCTATAGTTATTTTAGTTCAATTTTTATTATTTGAAAGGCATTTAAATACCAAGTTGTAATAGTTAGGGGGTTCAAGACCTGTATTTAGATAGAATATGTAATAGTTAGGGATTTATTTATTTATTTATTTATTTTATTCCTTTTCCCCTCTTAGATTGTAGTTAGGGCCCCAAGTGCAATAGTTAGGGCTTTATTTGCTTTAATTGCTTGTGTGTTTTGCATGTTTATGTGTTACGTGTTATCCGCTTTCTTAGAATCTTGCATCTAGATATCATGATTATGTGTTATGTGTTTATGTGATATTATGTGTTTACATGCTTTTATTATGTTTTACATGATTAGTTAGTTATAATTAATGTGTGATGTCACCACATTAGTCCAACGCTAATTGTGGCCCCTTTTCTCGACTCCACACTAGTCCAACGCTAGTTGTGGCCTCTTTTTCCGATTTCTCACTAGTTCAACGCTAGTGAGAACTCGCAGACATGGGTTAGTCCAACACTAGACCCTTAACAACCAGTCACACGCCAGATCATGTTTGTGTGACTACACTACATTTTCATGTATATTTTTCACTTTCTAGGGTGTTTTTTATCATTTTTGCATGACATCCCCCCTTATACGTATATCCCTTACCCCATGTTCCCCCTTATATGTATATCCCTTATCCCATATTCCCCCCTATATTTTTATTCCCTATCCCTATGTGTGAGATATGACATTAGACTTGTATTTCATACAAGAAAATTAGAGACAGGTTAGTGCATTTGCTTGATTAGATTAGGAAATACCCCTCTAATATGGGATATGGACGAGTGTGGCTTTTCTAACTTTAGCACGCTCATATTCCCTCTATTAAAGGAAAAATTGAAGTCACGAACATTAGATGTCCGGGCCCGTTATGATGCATTCCTTTAGATCATGTATTCGTATATAATTATTTTTAATTTTCTTTTCTTTTTACTTTTCTTTGAGTCTCATATTTCTGCACAATTCGTGACTTCTTCGAAAGTTTACTTTTGGGCATCGCAGTTGATGCGATTTGCATCAAATAGCTTCGAAGAGATATTCTGACCCCGATAATTAGGTCTAGATTTGCATTCATGTAAATACCTCCAAAATGTGATAAATTTTTAGGTTAAATTAAGAAAACTTTTGACTAAATTACGCAACTAGCTTTGGCTAGATTGAAAGGGTGCTTGTGATTTTATCCTGGCCTTCCCTTTCTTCAAATGTGACTCCCGATCCTTTTTCTCTTAATTTTCGAAGACCTGGAATCGTTTAAAAAGGGTTTTTCTACTTTTTATTCAAAATTCATTTTAGGTGACTTGGTACACTTTAACTCAATACCAAGTGGCGACTCCTATTTTTTTATTAAAAAACCTTTTTAAACTGTATTTTGGGCCAAAATTGTCGCACTTTTAAACCCCATTTTAGGCCCATTTACCTTTATTTATTTTCTCTTTAAATCAAAAACTCATTTTTTCTCAAATAAACCAAAAATTCATTTTCATAAACTCGTTATTTATTTTCCTTTAAAAATGGGGCACGACAGTCCACATATAAACTGATAAACAAGTTATAATTGTCAAACGAATGATGACAATCAATTTCTGCTTAATTATCGATAACTAAGGTACGACCGTTAGCTATTGCTCTAATTGCAAAGTAATTCTAGGTACGACCATGGAATTGAATTTCACAATTACTTTAAGATTTAGAGAAACCCTGTTCTAACCAAACAACATGCTACGAGGGTTGCTTACAAATTAGCCCGTATATTTCCCTGACATAACCCCGATTATGTCAATTGCCACTAATTTAGAACAATCAAACAATTACAGATTTAATTATTCTAATTGGCTTCAGATCATTGAATTAATTTAACAATCAGCCCCAGGATAATGAAATAATACAATAACCATACGAAAATAATGCTGGCAATATATGAATACCAGAAAATAATAGGAAAACTAAAATCAGTTAGATCTCACAATTTAAGTCAAATCAAATCTTCTGTTGTTCCTTAACTAGAAAAGGAGATTAGTTCATCCCCGTTGAGAAAAACCCATGCGTAATTGTAGAAATACTTGCGGCGTACATCGTCCCCAACCGAGATGATTCAATTCGTTGGAATCAGGAAAAGAAAAGCAAAGACGACAAAGAATGGCTAATTGTTTTCTCCTTGAGTGTCTGCCATATGATGGAAAAGCTAGCTACCAAAAAGTGCAAAAGTCAATAGTCAAGAAGGAGTCAAAATTGACGGCTACTTTTTCTCTCTAATTTCCTATATAATCTCTACTCCTATTTGGCTAGCAATAAGGAGTAAAAGGAAGACTCCTCGTCTCGTTTTACTTCCTCCTTTTTGGAAACCGCCAACAAGAAGAAGAGTGGTCTAGTCTTCCAAAATTGCCCCTGACTGCCGCATATCTTCCACTCAACAAGGAAACAAAATCGAATCAGCCTCCACCTTGTTGACTGCTACTCAAACTCTTATGCTGGTTACTGTCAGATTGACACCTTTTTATAGTATTTTGTTCCACTCCCTGCAATAATCACAAATTTTTAAAAGTGAGTGGAATCTGACAATTATAAAATAAATGACAAATTTGTGACTTATCATCAGGATCCTATTTTGCTTCTACCACTGATTTGATGTGCAAATATCTCAATGAAGAAGGCCAAATCAGCTCTTGTGCAAAATACAAAAGTTGTAGCCCATTGATTTAAATTTCCAATGCATCAAGAATCAAGTTATTTGGAGATCGTAGGCTAACAAATGATCAAAATATCCTCAACTATTTAGAAGATAAAATGTGTCAACTTTGAGGATCTTTTTGGTTTCTTCATTGCACTTCTTTTCTTCATCATTTGCACTTCATGTACACTTGAAAACCACTTCAATTCATCAAAATTCATCCAAACACATACTTTACTCCATTTGATGATTGAATCCATCAAACCTATAAAACATGAAGTTTTGATCATTTAAATTCATAAAAATGCAATGTTTCTCATTTTAATCATAAAATGCAAAACTTAACTAAAACCTAGTTGTTTAACTCCTAAAACAACTAAACATTAGTTGCCTAGTTGTTTGACTCCTAAAACAACTAAAACCTAGTTGTTTAATTCCTAAAACAACTCCAAAAACTTAGTTGTTTTGAAATTGTGTCCAAACATGGCTTGTATATTAGTCTGCCAAATTGCCAAGCTTTTTTTTTTTGTTGAACTCAAATATATTGGATTTTCTACATAAATTCCAAATTTCAAAATGAGCAAACTAAACTCAAATTGAGTTTAGAATATAATGAACTTTTTAACTAACAAAACTCAAATGATCTCTTACAAATTTGAAGCCCCGTTTGGGATTATAGTGTGTTTACAAAAAGAAAAGGCGCTTTTAAATACTAAAAGTATTTTTAAGGTGTTTCGTAACTAAATTTTTGTAATTTAAAGAACCCAATTTTTAGTAACTTAAAAGCACTTTTGTTAAGAATAATTGTGTTAGAGGTGCTTCTTTATAAACCACCCCTAAACAGGGCCAGAATCTCATTTGAACCTTAATTGTTAGGGACTATTTGGGCTTCAAACTTTAACAATCTTACACTTTTAGCCCTCTAGTTATTGTTTTTGTCTTTTAGCTCTTGAATTGTTAAAAATGTGTATTTATAATCCTATCAATCTGAACTATTAATCTTAAAGGAATTTTACTTCAACACCCAATAGATGTCAACTTTTTCAATAGTTTTAACCAATAAACTCCTCACGTTATGAAAATTTTGGAAATATAACTTATTTGGCATAATTTTTGCTGCATTAAAAATCCCAATGTTGGACTACTTCATTTAAGATTTTGATAAAATAGCTTTCTAATTTTGCTTGTATGTTGCAAATTATACTTTTCCATCAACTTTAACACCTCAAACTAATGTAACGGCTACAAGCTTATAAGTATATGTTTTCAACATCAAGGGCCAAAAAGGCTATGGCTAAAAGTATAAGATCATTAAAGTTTGAGGGCTAATTATGTTTTTCTCCTAATTTTTATTAGCTTTATTTGTGTTTCTAATCGATCAAACTGAACTATGCCAAATCATTAGGGACACCAACTAGTCTTTTCACTTCCGCAATAGTTGGTCCTGCATCTTAGTCAGACGACGGTTAACAATTTGATTAGACCGCACTTTCTAACTAAAATTACGATGTTTCAACCGCCCTTTGAAGCACAGCTCTTCTCTTCCCGACATTATTTTCCTTCTCCTTGCACTTGCTCGTTCTTGTTTTTTCCCATGCATAATTGCTCATCCGACCATCTACTGTATATTTACGCATCAGGACTTCTACTGTTATCACTTACCCATATCAATTGCACCGTGCAATATAAATAGTAGCACAATTAATGTAAATACTAATATATTTCATATTTTTTTTATTTTAAAATGTCTTAAAATATTTGTTATATTGAAAAAGTCAAAGTACCTTTTAATCTCTTTTTTTAAGATAATATTTCTTTCTAATCATATATATAAGTTATCATTTAAATTTAAATTTTAAATTTATGGGGGTAAAATTAAAAAAGAAAGTACAAACATCACAATCAAACCATTATTATTAAAAAAATTAAATTCTTCAAACACGACTAAATAAATGGGACGGAGGGAGTAATAATATAAATATTAATACAATAAAATAAAAAATACAACAAAATTTGTTATAAAATTTATATTTTATATTTAATCTTCTCCATCCAATTTCAAAGTAGTCTATCTCCCACCTTTAACTGTAACTTACAGCGCGTACGACTATAGAGGATCTCAATCCTATATATACCACCATTACTCCAAACAGATCAAACCACTATCAAATCTACCTCCAAAGTCCCATAAACAACATTTCCTCACAAATTTTCGCAATGCCGAAAGGCACTAAACCATCCCTTTTCTTTCTTCTTCTCTCTTTGCTTTTATCACCAAAAATCTTTGCCCGAAACCCTCTTCCTCTTCAGCCTCAATCACCTTACACTGCATGCAAATCCACCCTTTATCCCAAGCTATGCCGTTCCATTCTTTCATCTTTTCAGCATTCACCTACAAACTTAGATGGCTATGGAAAATTCTCTGTAAAATGGTGCCTAAAACATGCCCAGAAAATATCTGACCTTACTAACCATTTGCTATCACAGCAAAAACAAAGCAGATTTCTTAGTAGTAAAGAGCTTAATGCATTGCATGATTGTGCTCAGCTATCGGAGCTGACGGTGGATTACTTGGAATCCATATCTGTAGAGCTCAAATCAGATAATTCCTCTTCCGGGAGCGACAGTTTGGTTGGTAGAGTGCAGGCTTTGTTGAGTGCTGTTGTGACGAATCAACAAACATGCTATGATGGCCTTGTTGACAGGTAAAACGTTCCTTTTTCTTGTGGATATTTTTTTCTTTTTTTTTTTTGAAAATTTTTGTAGATATTCTTAATTAATTAATACTCATTTTTTAACCATCTGTTAAATATTGTTGGATTAATTAAACTTGTACATAGGTTGGATGCATATAGTGTAGAATTTTGATATACCATACTCACATATTAATTACAATAATATATTGTAATAACAAAAATTGATGAAAGGAGCACAACTGAGAAGTTTTGATATATTTTGGGTTATTTGTTTTAAAAGATATAGTTGATAATAAGTTTTCTACTATTTTTTTTTTTCGGGGGTTAGCAATACAGCTTACAAAAATCTTAGCAAAAAAGTCCTTTGTATTTCAAATTCATATAAAGTGCATTTAAACTTTAAAATACATTTCTGTTGCCAATGTAGAGCAAATTGATTCTACATCAAATGCATGAAAAAATTTAAACCTTATTCGCATTGTTAGTTTTCTAAAAAAATTTTATGCATTAATTTTAATTTTTATCTTAAATATTATATTAAATTTTTATAGTATATTTTTCTAAAAACAGTAATTCAAACGGGACCTAAGCTTCTGCAATGCCCTAGTGCCTTCCCTATATGCAAAAGTGTACCTAAATTTTCACAATTGACTTGTGTGCTCAAATCTCTGTTTGAGTGACACAGCGGCAGCAACTTGGTGGGTGCACTGATTGCACCGCTGTCTGCTGCCTCGGAGTTGTATAGCGTTTCGCTGGGCTTAGTAACACATGCATTGGGACGCGTTCGGAAAGCTGGAAAAGTAAGCCGACTGTCGGCCTATCGTGGGTTGTTAGAATTGGACTGGACTCGAAAATCAAGTACAAGGATTAACAGAGTAATATCCCTCGGAGGCTCCAAAAGATACCGGCTTTTGGAGTTCTCCTGGGATTAGGTTTATCTGTCAAAATTTTCGTTTCTCGAAAAAAATGCAAGAAAGAAACTTCCGCTTGGGTCGTCATTCTCTGGGCTTGTGGGGGGTATTTACTTCTTAGTAGCAGCGGTCCAATAGGCTTGGCCCCTGTCGGGGTTTCTATCCCACATCGGCTTTGGGGGGTTGGGAATTTGGGTAGTTAAGTCCCTGGGAGGCTCCAAAAGATACCGGCTTTTGGAGTTCTCCTGGAATTAGATTTATCTGTCAAAATTTTCGTTTCTCGAAAAAAAAAAAGATTAACAGAGTAATAATTGATCTTGTGCAATGCTGCAAATTTTTTAGGGATAATTTCAGAAACCTCCCTTGAGGTTACTAATCCTTTACAAATTCAGTCCAAATGATTAAAATATTGTTTTAGAGAGTGAAATTAGAATTTTGTACCTGATTTGCCCTTTGTGCTACATGTCCAATGAATGACAAAGTATTACAAATTAATTAATAATTAATAAATTTTAAGGAGCGTAGTTTATAGGCAAATACGTATTACTTATTTAAAGTACCAGCTCTTTACGGGTATTTTACTTTCAAACATTTACTTTATTACAAATATTTATTCTCAAATACAGATTTGTATTTACTCTCAAATATTTAATTTTTGTTAAATAAAAAACCTACCAGTTTTTCTTCCGTAGAAATATTAATATAACACTTTTTCAATTTTAGTTATAAATATTTATGTATTTAGCATAAATTAAATGATTCAGGATAAAATACTCATAAAGAGCTAATACTTTACTCATGCAATGGATGAAAATCATAAAAAAAATTAATACTTTATGGGCCATTTCTTTTTTTAAAAAATATTTAATTTATATGAAATAGATAACCTACTGATTTTCTTTTTGCGAGAATGTTACTGTAACACTTTTTAATTTTTAATCACAAACGTTAATATATTTAAAGTACCCGCCCTTTACAGATATTTTATTTTCAAATATTTAATTTATGATAAATATATTAACGTTTGTGATTAAAAATTAAAAAGTGTTACAGTAACATTCTCGCAAAAAGAAAATCAATAGGTTATCTATTTCATATAAATTAAATATTTTTTAAAAAAGAAATGGTTCATAAAGTATTAATTTTTTTATGATTTTCATCCATTACATGAGTAAAGTATTAGCTCTTTATGAGTATTTTATCCTGAATCATTTAATTTATACTAAATACATAAATATTTATAACTAAAATTGAAAAAGTGTTATATTAATATTTTTACGGAAGAAAAACTGGTAGGTTTTTTATTTAACAAAAATTAAATATTTGAGAGTAAATACAAATCTGTATTTGAGAATAAATATTTGTAATAAAGTAAATGTTTGAAAGTAAAATACCCGTAAAGAGCTGATACTTTAAATAAGTAATACGTATTTGCCTATAAACTACGCTCCTTAAAATTTATTAATTATTAATTAATTTGTAATACTTTGTCATTCATTGGACATGTAGCACAAAGGGCAAATCAGGTACAAAATTCTAATTTCACTCTCTAAAACAATATTTTAATCATTTGGACGGAATTTGTAAAGGATTAGTAATCTCAGGGGAGGTGAGTGTAAATGTCAGAAACCTCAAGGGAGGTTTCTGAAATTATCCCAATTTTTTATTTGGCCAATTTTTGTGTCGAAAGTTTAGACAGCCGTTTAAATTGCTTTCATTCTTTCAGCTGTAGACATTAATAGATGTAGTACTGGTAGTGATCAACATAAAATTAATAAAATTAAAATATTTGTGAAATTTAATTTTCTTCAGAATTGAAGTGTTAAAAAGTGAAATAATTGCATGGATTGAGATGATTATAAAAAAAAAGTAAAAAAAGGAAAGACGAAAAATATGTGTAATTCGAAAGTGTGTCAGCCTTATATAAACATGAAAAATTTGTACGCAAGGACGGAGAACTTTAAAATGTGAAAGACGGGAAGATAAGAAATTATGGTAAATTTTTTGGGTTTGTTTTTCTCTTTTTGGGTTAGATATTGGAAGTTTGGAACCTTTTAAACCCTTGTCATTACTCATAAGGGTGAAATGTCAAAACACAAAATTTTAGAATCTGAGTTTTTTGGGAGTTTGTCTAAAACTTTACTTTAGTGCACTGTAGAAGTTTTTGAAAAATTTTTGTAGAAGTTTTTGTAAGGTAAAAAACTTTTTTATAGAAGTTTTTGTAATGTGAAAAATTTTGTAGAAGTTTTTGTAAAGTGAAATTTTTTTTTTTCCTTTTCTTTCTTTTTCTCTTTCTCTTTCTTTTTCTTTTTCTTTATTTCCTTTTTCTTTTCTTTCCTCTCTTCTTCTTCTTCTTCTTCTTCTTCTTCTTCTTTCCCCCTCCCCCTTCCCCGTTACCTCTGCCTCCCACCTCTAGCACCTCCGCCAGCACCACCTCTCTTCTTTTTCTTTTTTTTTTCTTTTCTCCTCTTCCCCCTCCCTCTCCCTCCCCCGCTACCCCTTTCCTCCCCTCTCCCCCTCCACCCCTTTCCCACTCCCTTCCCCGTTCCTCCTCCCTTTGTCCGCCACCCTCCTGGGGCCGCCACCCCTCCCACTCCCTCCCCTGCCACCCCCTATGCCCACCATCCCTTTCCTCCCCTCTGCCCCTTCCCCCTCTCCCCCTGCCACCCTCTTTGTCCCTTCCCCCTCCCCTGTTCCCCTTCTCGCTTCTCACCTTCCCTCTGCCACTTTTTTTTTCACATTTTCCCTCTCCCTCTCCTCCCGTCTCCTCTCTTTACTCTTGTGGGCAAATGAAGCAGCAAATGAAAATTTTTTTTTTTGGGCAATTTTCCTTCTCTCCCCTCCTCCCCTTCCCCCGCCACCCTCACCCTCCCCCGTGATATCTGGTCTAGCGACCAGATGGGCCAGAGGGGAAGGGGAAGGGTGGTGGGGGAGGAGTGGGGAGACGCAGAGAGAAAAAAAAAGACAGAGGGGATGATGGTAGGGGAGAGGGAAAAAGGGCAAAAAAAAAAAAAGACCGGCACCAGAAGAGGTGATCGGCGCCGAAACCGGCGGCAGAGGTGGTGGCCGGCGACGAAGGTGGTGGTGGGGGAGGAAGAAGAAGAAGAGAAGGGGAAGGGAATTTTTTAATTTTTTTTGTGTTTTGGATATTTTAAGTGTAGGTAAAAAATTTTGAGAAGTTTTTTGGGGTTTCTGTAGCAAAAGTTGTTAAAAAACTAGTAGGTAAAAAACTTGTCAAAAAACATGGCTTCCAAACAGGCCCGTAGGAACCTTTAGTTTAGATATGGTATTGATAAAAATGAAAATGTTCGGGCAAATTGCAATGATAGTCCCTCATATTTGAGTTTTATATTTTTTAGTTTCTCACTTTTAAAATGATGCATTTTAATCTCTTATATTTGAGGTTTTTTCACTTCATAGTCATCCACTTTTGACATGCCAAGTTTGGCTACTTTGCATTGCTAGTCAAAGTACATAGTGAAGTTCTTAGTGAAGTTTCCATCTAAGTTGTGATAATCCTTAGTAAAGATACTGAATCACCAGGTTCTGCATGGATTAAATGATTCCCAAAGGTGGGGAAGAAATCTAGCCGAATTGGTGGATAAAGGACTAAAGGAGTTAATATCAGAGAGGCAGTTACAGTTAGAAATTATGGGGGTAGCAACTTCACCTCAATAGGAGATGCCATAGCATTTGCACCAGATAACTTGAGGACTGAAGATGGTTATTTTGTGATCTTTGCGAAGCAAGGATTCTATGAAGAGTACGTTGTTGTGCCTAAACACAAGAAAAGTGTAATGTTGATTGGAGATGGAATCAATCGCACTGTGATATCTGGGAATCGGAATGTCGTAGATGGCTGGACAACCTTCAATTCTTCAACATTTGGTAAGTTACTCGTTTAGCTTTCTTGTCTGAAGTTTACAGCAGTTTCATCTCGATCATCTGTAAAACCTTCAAGTGTTACTATCAAGTCTGGAATCATTTGATTCAGCTTTAGAACCTCTTGTCAAACTACTTCTATCTAACAATGATATTCTTCAAACATTAGGCATGATTAAGTTAAGTGGTTAAACTTAATTGTATCGCTACAGTATCTAGAGAAGGTATGTATTTTGAATTACTGGAAGAACCAATGTCTCGAAACTCGAAGAGAGGGCAACTCGGCCAAGTTCAGTCAGGTCAATGGATACAATTGGTAAGTTGGGACTAAAAAATAGAACTATAGAAGACCAGATTACATCATGATTATAATTTAATGTTATGAGTGTGTGTATCTCTCTCTCTCTCTCTCTATTTATACACATGCACACACACACACACACATAAAAATATTTCATATGGTATTTACAAAATTTAAATGAAATCTTTCTGCATTTATAACTAAATTTATAATATTTATTTGAAAACATATAGAAATTAAGATTGTAATTGAAATTTAAAAAATTTCATAAGAGCATTTATAATTGTTTCAAATGATACAAAATTAAAAATAAATACTATAAAAGTTTCAACAACAAATTGAAGTGAAGAGAAATTAAGAAAATTTATAAAAATAAAAAAAGAGAGCATTAAAAAGAAATAATAAAAAACTTAAGGATTCGTTCTTCTCCTCCCATCAAACTGAATTTTTTACCGGGTCAGCTGCCACATGGTGTTATTTATTAAATCATTGCTTTTCGATTCAACCCCTTCATGTGACGGCCCCACCTCCCCCTAAGGCGAACCAGAGGGTTCGGCGGGTCACCTGCCCAGCTCTCGCCGGGACTCAGTCGTTCACTACAATCCTCAAACATATTACAAGATAAGACACAAAAATTACATCAAATTCTCCAATAATTACATGTCAAAAGCAAAGCGGAAATAATTCCCAACTATACATCAAATGATTCCAAATCCAAACTGTACAAGATATAAGCCATCCAGCCACGTGAATAAGTACTACCAGCCTTCCTTTGCCACGAGCCCTGTGGAGGGGAATAAAATATTTTTGGGGTGAGCTAAAAGCTCAGCGAGTAACCAGGAAAATCATTAAACAAATATATTTCACAATGTTGCATTTCGATGATTTCGATGATGTCATGATTCAGAGATCAAATGTACGTCTTTTGCTCTCGTGAGCCAGTGAAATCATAGTACTTGAACACCCAACGCTCAAATAGATCATTTAACATTAACATTAAGAGGGAGCCCTTTTTTGAGCTCCAGATAAACATGAATTTGCTAACTTTCCCAGCCATCATGGCTTCATTATTTCCTCAGCCAGTCCCAAAGGTACACACACAACAACAAGTTCATCCAATAGTCATTCAGCAAGTTCCAAGTAGTACTAGTACAAGTCAAACTAGGGAAAAGTCCGGAAATGAAAGTTAAGTTCAAAACCAGAAAAACAGCTTTTGACGTCATTTTGTGGTAATGGAACCAAAGGCGCTACGATTGTCGGATGAAGGTGAAAGATACACCGTTTCGAAGCTAAGAGACAGCGCTACAACATCGCAGAAGGTCACTCAACCCATTTTTGAGTACAAACAGGTCAAAAATGCAAGATACTACATCAAAAACGTAAAACCGATTCACCAAAACGCATTCTAGCGGAAACATCATAACTCAGGCTCTCCAAGTCCAAATCCAGAAATTCCAAAACCAGATGAAAGCTAAGAAAAAGGGTTAAACTTCATCAGAAGGCCTCAACAACCAATTCGGAAGCAATTCCAGCCAAAACAACCCATTACAGACGTACTTCTCAATTTCGGGTGAAACCAGAACAGCAATAGTAATTTCGACTTATCTCATCCTACACTGCTCAGATTGACCTGAAATTTCGTAGGAGCCTCTAAAATGTCATTCCCTACAACTTTTATGTTTTGAGCTAAGGCCAATTCGGCCTCTATCTAGGACATAAAAATTCGGACAGAATGAAGAACATTGAAACCTAGTTTTCCATTTTCCTTCCAAAACAGAAATTGATTGTAATTAATCACTTTTTCCACCTCCTAGAGTCATTAAACATCATTTCCAATCATCATACATTACCCCATAATCATATCCATAGGAAAACAGAAAAATCCCCAATAATTATAAACTTCACCAATTCAACCAAAATCAAGATATAATCCATAAAAGTGCATCTTATACCACCACCAATCATGAATTGAACATCATTAGAGGAAGGAGAGGGGTCCTTCACAACTCACCTTAGCAATACAAGAGATAGAGCAACAAACCACCTTAGCTTTCCAAACAACTTCACAACCAAGCTCAACTCCACCAAACTAAGAGGTTTTATGGAGTAATTGGAAGATTAATCGGTTTAATTGAAAGATTGGGCAAGATTGGAGACTAGAAAATTGAGAGCTTTTATTTCTTTCTTGCTTGATAAGGGCCGGCCAAGAAGCTTGTAAAATGAAGCTTATTTTGGTCAAATTTTGGTATTTATTTAGTAAAGGTAAAGGTAAAGTTAAATGGTCAAAGTCCAAGATTAAATCACAAGGTGACACTTGTCACCTTTTTGGTTTAAAACTTATCTTTTTGTCTCTCCAATACAAATATCTTAACACCTTGTAAAATAATATCACTTAATACAAAATTCCAACAAGTTGTCAAAAATATAATGCATTTACCGCACTTGCGGGTCCCACGTTCAAAATACGCTTTTAATTTCTCAAAAACTAACCGATACTAGAAAAATCATTTTAAAACTATCTTTGCTCATAAACTTTATCTGGGAAATTTTTCTAATAAAGAAAATGTAGAAAAGGCGGACGATTAAATAAAATAAACACTAGAAAATTAGAAAATTTTCGGGTTCTCACACTCATTCTTTTCGGGGCGTCACAAACTCCCCTCCTTAAAAGAATGTCGTCCTCGACATTCCATCTTGTACCAATCAAGTCAAGACATCCCAGACATCCCGCAAGAATCACTCAAGCATTCCAAGTAAACACTAAGAGTCAAATCAAACCCACAGTCCGGCATCCTAAACTTCAAGCCTAGGATACACTACAGAGATCTGAAACCTAAGCTCTGATACCAACTGTGACAGCCCCACCTCCCCCTAAGGCGAACCAGAGGGTTCGGCGGGTCGCCTGCCCAGCTCTCGCCGGGACTCAGTCGTTCACTACAATCCTCAAACAGATTACAAGATAAGACACAAAAATTACATCAAATTCTCCAATAATTACATGTCAAAAGCAAAGCGGAAATAATTCCCAACTATACATCAAATGATTCCAAATCCAAACTGTACAAGATATAAGCCATCCAGCCACGTGAATAAGTACTACCAGCCTTCCTTTGCCACGAGCCCTGTGGAGGGGAATAAAATATTTTTGGGGTGAGCTAAAAGCTCAGCGAGTAACCAGGAAAATCATTAAACAAATATATTTCACAATGTTGCATTTCGATGATTTCGATGATGTCATGATTCAGAGATCAAATGTACGTCTTTTGCTCTCGTGAGCCAGTGAAATCATAGTACTGGAACACCCAACGCTCAAATAGATCATTTAACATTAACATTAAGAGCGAGCCCCTTTTTGAGCTCCAGATAAACATGAACATGAACCGTGAACAGAGGTGGAGACGTTGGTGTCCAGCACAAGACTTTCCCAGAACTCATTGAAGCCAAATCATGTCATGAATCCACATGCAAGCACGCATGATATGCGATCGAATAAATAAAGCAAGAAATATTTCACAAGTACTTCGGAAATAGTTTAGGGTCACTCACCTCCACGGCTCAGAAATCATCCAGCATATAACATTGCCTTGCTCAAATCCAAGTCTTAGATCACAAACTCAATGCAAACAAGTCCCTTCAAAGTTCGGACAGCACTTCCCCTGAATTTGCTAACTTTCCCAGCCATCATGGCTTCATTATTTCCTCAGCCAGTCCCAAAGGTACACACACAACAACAAGTTCATCCAATAGTCATTCAGCAAGTTCCAAGTAGTACTAGTACAAGTCAAACTAGGGAAAAGTCCGGAAATGAAAGTTAAGCTCAAAACCAGAAAAACAGCTTTTGACGTCATTTTGTGGTAATGGCACCAAAGGCGCTACGATTATCGGATGAAGGTGCAAGATACACCGTTTCGAAGCTAAGAGACAGGGTTACAACATCGTAGAAGGTCACTCAACCCAGTTTTGAGTGCAAACAGGTCAAAAATGCAAGATACTACATCAAAAACGTAAAACCGATTCACCAAAACGCATTCTAGCGGAAACATCATAACTCAGGCTCTCCAAGTCCAAATCCAGAAATTCCAAAACCAGATGAAAGCTAAGAAAAAGGGTTAAACTTCATCAGAAGGCCTCAACAACCAATTCGGAAGCAATTCCAGCCAAAACAACCCATTACAGACGCACTTCTCAATTTCGGGTGAAACCAGAACAGCAATAGTAATTTCGACTTATCTCATTCTACACTGCTCAGATTGACCTGAAATTTTGTAGGAGCCTCTAAAATGTCATTCCCTACAACTTTTATGTTTTGAGCTAAGGCCAATTCGGCCTCTATCTAGGACCTAAAAATTCGGACAGAATGAAGAACATTGAAACCTAGTTTTCCACTTTTCCTTCCAAAACAGAAATTGATTGTAATTAATCACTTTTTCCACCTCCTAGAGTCATTAAACATCATTTCCAATCATCATACATTACCCCATAATCATATCCATATGAAAACAGAAAAATCCCCAATAAATATAAACTTCACCAATTCAACCAAAATCAAGATATAATCCATAAAAGTGCATCTTATACCACCACCAATCATGAATTGAACATCATTAGAGGAAGGAGAGGGGTCCTTCACAACTCACCTTAGCAATACAAGAGATAGAGCAACAAACCACCTTAGCTTTCCAAACAACTTCACAACCAAGCTCAACTCCACCAAACTAAGAGGTTTTATGGAGTAATTGGAAGATTAATCGGTTTAATTGAAAGATTGGGCAAGATTGGAGACTAGAAAATTGAGAGCTTTTCTTTCTTTCTTGCTTGATAAGGGCCGGCCAAGAAGCTTGTAAAATGAAGCTTATTTTGGTCAAATTTTGGTATTTATTTAGTAAAGGTA